TTTTTTACCTATTCAAATTTTGAATTAAACTATTTTCTCATGATGCAAAACATAAATCTTGTATGCAAAAATATCAAATTTTATATGAATAAGCATAAATCAACTCATCATATAATATTTCCACAATTTAAGTCTAACACATGGTTCCAAATATATGTATCATAGTAGGCAACTTTATTTGACATATACAAGCACACAAAAAGCAAAATTAAAGCTAAAAATAAATTATTTTTCTTAATTTTCATTTTAACGCATGAACAAACATACAAAACAATAAAAATAGATAGCATACTTGATGTTTACTACCCTCAAACTTATAATAGATAGTCATCAATGTATAAATATATAACAAGTAATATATAAAAATTAACGGGGAAAACAGATCTAAGTATTCCCCTGGAATAAATCCGAAGGTAGTAGATGGATGGTAAATCACTTGCTATGTCTTTTTTCTTGTCTTGAATAGGTTTATGTTTTCAGGTGTCATGTTCATTCAAACTAAATATAAATCAATCATAATATATAATAATTTATTATAAGCTCAAACACAACTTATAGGGAAATACGGGGATGATACCCTGTACTATTTTAAAACAAAAAATTTTACTCATCCTATATTCTAAGAAAAACAAAATAAATAGAAGGAAAGGAAACTGGACTGTCTTTCAATAATCGCTTATTTATAGTCACTAATTTGACTTTGATGTTTTGTCTATTCATTGTGGTTGAAAAGGAGAGTTTTCAGCCTTATTATTCATTGACGAATTTTCTTTAATTCATCTTTTGCCCTTTCAAATTATAGGGTTTCCATTATTGTCTCTCATTATTCCAACCAATCCACAAACTTCTTTTTTATATCCATGACTTTCCCAATCCTTATTTTCTTCATTAACAATTCTTTTTCATTCCTCGAGGTATGGCGGTTGTCTGAGTTCAAGTACTCATGATAAAGCTTTATTTTTTTTCCTTTCACTGTCAAGATTATCTCACCCTTTTCAAAATTCATTAATGCTCGTCTAGTTGTTGAGAACGATCTTCCCAAAATTGCTATCATGTGTTGATCTTCTATATCAAGGATGATGAAATCATCCGAAAAATGAGTGATAAATGTAGTTTCTACACTTATTGGCTGATCTTCTGTATCAAGGATGCCGAAATCATCCGAAAAACGAGTGATAAATGTAGTTTCTACACTTATTGGAAGTCCTAAATGATGATATTTTAGTGTTCTTTTGATAAAATATTACCTAACTTGTGTTATATTTCATTTTTTAGGTAAAACTCAATGTTTGATAAAGAATTGGAGAAAAAAATGCAAAGATAGCGAAAAGGGCTGAATTGTATCACATACAACGTTTGAGGACTGAAATGCAAATACTGAAAATTTACGAATATTTGAGAGTGTTAGGCATCAATTGGATGAGAAAAGAAGCCAAAGGGATGAAATATAGTTCAAGTACTATCACATATCAACTTCAAGCTGAAAAAGTTATGCTTCGAATTTTCAGTCTCAGTTTGAGATCTATTTTTGATATAGAAAATGTTCGAATTGGAAATATTATATTGCTGGACTATTTATAGCTCTTTGAGTTATTTTTCCAACACATTTTGAATAACCTCAATCGGGTATTGGTAGAGAAAGATATGACTAAAATACAGAAGGCTGTCCCGTGGGAAAAAAAAGGTATACCTATTGATAGTTTGACGTTCTTCTATGTGATGTGACCGCATTATGCATCATTATTCTAATTTGATGTGACCACATTATGCATTCCAGGGTCAAAATTGATGGTTGGACGTCCTTCTATGTGACCGCATAGTACAAACGTTTGGCGAGATTTTGTTTTTTCAATTGAAACTCTATTTTGGTAACAATATTTTAGGCATCCTATATATATGAAACTCAACCAGAACACGGGGGAGACCTCTTTTTGACCTAAAAAACATATGTATACGGATTTTGAGAGGAGAAAGAGCAATAACATGAAGAACACCACAACAAAGCGACGATTAAAGTCAAGAATTCAATTGGTGATGTAGTTTCTTCATTGTTTTTCTGATTTTCTTCTTTCCATCATGCTCGACTAGGTTAATTCTGTACTATGGAACGGTGAACTATGTAAGATAATTTTTATTTCTTAGTTTTACA